TGGTCATAATTAATATAAATAAAACGATAACGAAATATAAATAAATTAGGATGTTTTCCCAATTTTTAAAGATAAAAATATATAATCCAAAATGGGCTCTATCGATTAAATGGAAACATTTTATATACACAAATCGATTAAATAAGAAATCTTATTACATCAAGTAGCAATACAACTTCTGTCGTCTTTCACCATTTCCAATCAGAACAGCAACCCGTACAGCACCACCATATGCAGAAACCTCATTTGGATTGATGCTCGTCAATCTCCTTCCCATTGAAAAAGTCTTGTAACATTTGCACTACCTTTGGAATACGAATTACTTTACTAATCAGCACAACATCTTTAATGCTTCCTTTGTCCAATTTGACTTCTTCAATAACCTTCTGAATTTGGTGCTGTTGTCGACTTTTAAGGTCGATGTTGATTTCTTCAAACATATATGTAGCTGGTATGTGAAAGTCGATTACTTTGTAAAACAATTGTCAACTTCAGCGCTTTAATCAAAGGCGCTGAAATTTTCAATCAACCACTTTGAAACGAACATACTATTCTGCATTTTCATTGTTATAAACTTTGTGTCTGCGCCAAAAAACAGTTTCCCATCGTCTGTGTAACAACGTATAATGATGTTATTTTGTTACCATCAAGTTTTGTTTATTTTTTAAGATTTGAGATGTTTGATTCAATTTTATTTAATGATCCCGTTTTTTTAGCCGAAAACGTTAAATTTTCAATTTAAAAAAGGAAAATAGAAAAACAAATAAAAAAGATGTGTCTTTTAAAATGACACATCTTGATTTATTTGTGCATTTGAGCTTTAAATACAAATATTTAAATGTTGAATCTGCTTTTAAAGTTCATATTAAATAGTTTAATATAAATTTCATGATTTCTCGATCACACAGTCCAAAGTTATGAAACTGTATTTTTCTAAATTTTAAAAAATGTGTCTTCTAAAAATACACATCTCTCAATATCCATCATTTATTCATGAAACACAAATAAATCTTTCATTTTAAAATGATGTTTTGTCAAAAAACAATTATGATGCATTATTTGTTTGGACTTTTCTTTAAAAAACATTGTTTTTACTTTTCAAAAAGATGGTTTGACATTAAAATTTTTTTAATTTGTCAAATAAAATGCTTTTCGTTTTTGAATTTTCAAACCAAGAATTTTTATCTTTTTACAAAATATTTTGTCTCTTTTTCAATTTTTGATAAATAATGTTATGTGGTTCGTGCAGGTATTTCGCAGGTCTTTAGTATTTAATTATTGGCAAAAGGTTGTTGTATAAAAATTTTGAATAAGTAATTTTATACATAATAAAATTAAAAATATTAGTTATATAGTCAATCTAACAACCTTATTTGCTTGGAAACTATATTTAATATATTTTGGACTAATATACACCAATCAAAACAAGCACTTAAAACCTGAAATAATTATCGGGTCAACAACATCATTTTAGTCCAAATACTAATTCATAACTTTGTTATTTGTATCAATAAAAATGCTTTTTCGTCGCATTCCTCTTTTTAATTTTTTCATTTTATTAAAAAAAGAATCAACTTTTTTTATTTTTAAATTATAATTATAATAACAGTTTTCACTTTAAATACAAGGTGATAAAATATGTTTTCAATAGTACATAATAAGATAGAGACACTCATCACAATGAATAAAAATTATATGTATTTATAAAGTTGTTTACATGACACATGAATTAAATATTTAACACTTTTTTGTTGTTCTAATGTTTATTTACACAACTTTATTACTGGTCAATATTAAAAATTGACTATTATTTGATATAAAGTTGTTATTATCTTGATGTACATGTTACAATCTATTGCCGACATGTGTTGTTAATCCATTTTTAAATATCTTTTTTTATAAAATGTTAGTAACTTACATTACATATACACATCAACTTATTTTAAACATTCATTCTAATTTACGTAATGTGTGTTTTTTGTACAAAATCATTTATCATATATTGTTTGGCTTGTTAAACCAAACACAATCCGTTTGTATTATAGACTCGGTATCTCAGTCTGCACGCAAAAATAACATTCAACAACTTCTTTATATCTTTGGTGTTGTCTTTCTAAAATTTTTGTGTTTGTTCTACAATTGTTTTTGTTTATTATCGATTTGATATACTGTCTAACATATTTTATTAATTATTTATCAAGACCTCTATTATTTTCAACTGTTAATGTTTTTATGTTTTTATCACACCTTATCGAAATATGATATATATGTTAAACGTATAACACATTAAAGTATATAAAAGTTTTCATTATAATACCATTACTTCTAATACCTTTTTATTTCTTATTAGTATTTTAAATTTCATTTAAATAACAAATATGTTTTTCTGGTTTTTAACTATTTTATTATTTAACCTCTTTTTTTAATTTCAAAAACTTGTCTGTCTGTCTGTTTATACAATTACTATTCAAAACAATGTTTAGTTCATCAAAAAAAGAGATAATTTATTTAAAATTATATCTTTTCTTAAGGAACTAAACTTGAATAAAACGATAGTTAGTAAAAATCAACTATCGTTCGTATTGAAAAATCATCACAATTTATTATTAAGATTAGTAAAAATAATTATATTTATAGTATATTGCTTATTAATAAAATACTATAAAGAAGCGCAAGAATAACGTACAACTGAAATAAATAAATAAATAAATATATGCGTTAGACAAACATATATATGTAGATGTAGATGTAGAAAACTGCGATTATTTTAATTTTTTTCTTATTTTTTGGGGCAGGCTTTTCCCACCCTCACCCCGTCTAAAAATAGAATTATTTTTACTATTTAATATAATATTTTATAATTATAATTATAGTAAATGGGCGTTTTGGATAATATTAGGTCTGGTTCCCGAATTCAAGAAATGCCGAAAATTCACCTCGAGTTAGTGGAAACCGAGTGAGACGGAGCATTGAAAAGAAGGCTCATAAAGCTGCACTCAAACAGTCTGTTTGTGCACCGTTCACCCACTTTCAAAGTCCTCCCTTGGCGCGGATCCCCCTGACCCCCCGCTTGTGGGGGGGACCACATCCGCGTCCACACAGTACGGACAAGGAAAGTGGGTGACATGGGGACGCACAAACAGTGGCTGAAAAGTGGATTTTTTTCAAAAAACACTCGCGGCAAATATTTTATTTTGGTAAACGGGGTGAGGGTGGGAAAGGTCTGCCCCTTTTTTTCATAAAAACAAATTGTCACATAATTCGACAGAAGTCATAATCAATAACCAAGATATAAAAATAATAAAGATTATTATTTAAAACATATAGACAAAAAAATGTTCAAACATGATTGTTATTTTTAATTATGTGTTCAATTTTTTATATTAATAATTTAATTAGTTATTATACAAATAATTAAAAACGTCTAAACTGATAAATTATCAAAAAATTTTATCAAACAATTTGAATCATACAATATTGTAAACGTATGAAGCAAAACTTCACCTAACTAATTTATTTAATTTAAATTATAATTGTTTATATTATAAACAAATCATATTTATTTTAAAAGTAATAATAATTTATTTGAAATATATTATTTTATTAATCAATTATTATTTTCTTAAATTTTGAATTAGGAACGTTTAAGGTGCTAACGGACGTTTTTAATTGTATAATTTACTTTCAAAAATATTTTTTTTAATCGTTGTTTTTAATGAATTGACTAAATGATTGTTTTCGATTTTCTGAATTTTAAATAAAGAATCACACAGTTAAAATAAATTAAAAATATTACTATATTAACAATTACAGTAGGGGGAGTGAGGGGCTTGACCTATTGTTTTATTATATTTTTTACTATACAGAGTTTTCCCGGTTCTATTTAAAAAATAACAAAAACTATAAATAATATAAAACAAAATGTCAAAGAAAAAGATCCTTAGCTTATCCAAAATGAAGTACAACGCTTGTTTGATAAGGAAAGATCAACAATCTTCAAGTGAAATAAAAAAGATTAAAAAGCTCATTTTCATAATTGAAAATGACCAAGACTTAATTGAAGAGCTTCAACTATCTTTTTCTATGACAGCACAAATACAACTTCTTTATTCAAAAACACATTTTCCTTTAGCAATAATAGGTAAGTTGTTTAATATCACGAAGCAGGCAGTATCACTACATCTTGATAAAGAAAAAGATGTGATACCAGATTGGCATGTTAGAATAATAACCGGAGAGATGGAAGATATGATAAAACAATTGATACTATTGTGCAATGAAAAGAAAATTGCAATAACAAATTCACTTATTATATCGTTGTGTCAAAAAGTTGATCCATTATTCACAATCACAGCAAGTGGTCTACGGAAACACATGGAAACCAAACATGGTTGTAAAAAAATAAAAGCTGTTCCGGATGAGTTGGAAAGAATTCAAATAGATTATATGAATGTTTTCAACAACTACAAAGAGCTTAGCAACTTCAATAATACACCAGCTTGTCTATTTTTCAATGTTGACGAAGTTAGCTTTTCTGACTGGATGGACAAATACAATCTATATGTGTATGTTTCAAATGACACTTACACCAAATTAAAAACCCAAGAAACACCGAAGCTGGGCGTTTCACATTCTTGTGAGCGTAGTACTTGTGTGGCTTGTATTTCACTTGAGGGATGTTTCATTGCTCCTGCTATTGTACTACCCAACAAAAAGTACATATCCGATTTGGAAGCAGAATTTCCGGAGTGGACTTTTTACCATTCCAAGAGTGGTTTTATTACAGGCGCTATTTTCCAGCAGTGGATTGTGAATCATCTAATTCCCCACATCGAATCAATCAGATTAATAAGGTGTCTAGTCAGTGAAAGAGCTGTAGTCACCATGGACAACTTCAGTGGCCATTTGAATGAGCAGATGATACAATTTGCCCAAGACCACAATGTTGTTTTCCATTATTATGTCCCTCACACAAGTCACCTTGTCCAACCACTTGACTTATGTTTTTTGGAGTTGCCAAACAAGCCATCAGTTCACATGGTTCTTTGACAATTGAAGGAAGAGCAATTGACACCAATTCCACAGTCACTGAAGACGGAGAAGTTCAAAGTGGATTGATTTCTTGGATGAGAGAACTTAGTGAGAGTGATTGCAGATTACGACAAGCTCTGAGAGAAGAAGGAGATCATAGAGAGCAAACTGGTGTGCCCATAACTTGTCATGCAAAAGTGTTGGGAGCAATGGAGAGCAAAGCAACTAAAAACATTATAGTTGCATCGTTTAAGCGTTCTGGTGTTGTTGGAGTCAATATTGGCAAGATCAAAAGAATGTTCGTTTCTATAAAAGAGGCTTCCAGATTGTTACAGGAAGCCAATGGTGTTTATACCAGCGAACAATTGGAATCGTTTGTTCTTCCGCCTACATCGACATATTTGGTCAAGATGGCAGAAGAGAGTTTATCTTGGAATATACAAGAGTTAAACCAACATCGAGAGCCTTTACAAACAACAATATTGCCACCTATTGTTGATCCAAATGAGAAAAAATTCCCAAACACCCAAGTCAATCCGAATATAATTTCGAGTTCTGACTTTATGCTAAGGATGAACAGATACTTTTATGGTTTATAAACTATAATTTATAAGTCAAGGTTGTGTTTTTAAATAGAACATTAAAAATAGTTTTTATTTAAATATAGTAAATAAACCATTAAAAGTATAGGTCAAGCCCCTCACTCCCCCTACTGTATGTTTTATGTTTTATTTTTAAAAAATAACAAGTTGATAAAATAATTAAATTCATTATTTTCAAAAAGCATCGAAAGAGGCATTGAAAGAGGAACAACATATACAATGTTAAAGGGGTTAAAATACAATAATTCATTTTCTTAAAAATTCCTCACATCGTTAAAACTTTTATTTTTGAAAACAAGTTTTTCCGACTTTTTAAAAGTTGTTTTTATACTTTTAAATGTTAAACATTTTCGTGTTTTAAATGCAAACCCATTTATAGATTTTTAGCAAATAAAAGGAACGCGATGAAAATTTTATTCAATGATTTATTTTCTTCTCCTGTTAGTATCAACTTATGCATTTGATCAGTGTTATATCAAAGAGACTACTCGCAACTGTTTTAAATATTACGACCAAATCGGAAACTTTACATGTGATCCCAATTTGGTTATAACTGAATCTGGGTATTTGTGTGAAAAAGCATTTAAAGGTCGAACTGTTTTTACTTCGGTTGTTTTGGAACAAATTACTTCTGTTGACGATTATGCATTTGAAGGATGTTCCAATCTTGAAACCTTCACGTTTAAAATGTCTGAAAGTAGTTCATCATGGGATTATATTGGAAAGTCTGCATTTGTTGGAACCAAGTTGAAATCCATCAATTTGAATAATATTTACCTAATCGATGAAAGTGCTTTTGCTGGGCTTACTTCTCTCCAACAAATCACATTTTATAAATATTTTCCTTCTATAATTAGAAAGAATGCTTTTAGAAACAGCGGACTTCAATCAATTGGATATTCAGAAGACGTTTCTTATATTTATAGAGATCTTTCAATAGTTGATGAATACGCTTTCAGTGGTACTCAATTGGAGACTTTTACACTTTATGAAAACTCGAATATGTACATCGGAAAGGGTGCATTTTCTAATATGACCAATCTTAAGCACTTTAACATGAGTGGGTGCCCTACCATATCCGAAGAAATGTTTGCTGGAGACGTCTTACTCGTAAGAATATCGTTTTCAGAAAATGTTATTCGATTAAAGAAAAACGCATTGAAAGATTGTGTAAAATTGACTAAGCTTCATCTAGGTAATGTTATCACTTTCCAAGATAATTTGCAGTATATTACCGAACTGTTTTATCATGGTGTAAACGCTCCTTCGGGTGTTTTAGGAGAAATCAATTTAAATTCTGCCATAAAAGTATATGTCAGTAAAAATTACGCCGCGGCAGATCTCAAATTTTTAACTTTGACTGCAACAAAATTGAGTTGTAATAAAGACCAAAAATATGATTTCAATACAAGTACTTGTGTTGCTTGTGAAAATAATTATGTCACTTATGATGGATGTAGTGATGAGTGCACTATAAATAGTTATCTTTGTAGTTGGAAAGATGAAACATGTTTAGACTATTTCTGTAGTGGTTATGCTTGTAATAGATGCACAGAAGCTGGTAAAAAGGTGTTTGATTATTCCAGTAAAACATGTACTGATATTTGCAACACAGTGAATGGATATTATTTACTTGGTGACGGCAGAACTTGCAAAAACTGTAATATTTTAAATTGTTTGAAATGTGCAGAAAAGGAAATAATGGATCCAAACACAAATTTTTCGTACAGCAGCACCAAGTGTACAATGTGTATGCCTCCTAATATTGTGACAACGAGTGGTTCTTGTGCATCATCTTGTGATGTTCAAAATAGTTATGCTTATTATGTTGATATTAATGGGCAACAGGTTTGCCAAAAATGTAGTGATATTTTGACAAATTGCAAAAAATGCACTTCAAACAATACTTGTTTAGAATGTAGTGCTTCTTCTTATTTATTGGAAGAAACCAATGAATGTGTTTCTAATTGTCCATTAAACTATGGTAAAGACAGTGAATACAAAAAATGTGTGAAATGCACTCCAAATTGTGAGAATTGTGATGCACAAAGTTCAAATGGAGAAACTCAAATGTGTAAAACATGCGAACTTGGTTACTATTTAGTTTCTGACACTAATGAATGTGTTGCAAGTTGTGCTGATTATTACTACCCAATTGAAGGCTCAGACACTGAACCGAAAAAGTGTATACAATGTGAACGAAATTGCGTTTCATGTTCAGGAAGTCAAGGTGAATTCTGTTCAAAATGTGAATTAAATTACTTTTTATATGATGAAGAAACACCACAAGGATGTCAAGACCAATGTTATGATGGGTATTATGAAACTAATGAAAATGAAATAGCCAAATGTAAGAAATGTTCTGTTATCGAAAATTGTGTAACATGCGAATCAGAAACGAAATGCACCAAATGTGGAAATAACCAATATGTACAAGAAGATGGTTCATGTGGAGATACTTGTCCAGAAAAATATAGAAAGGGTGATGGGATTTGCGAAGAATGTCCACCACTATGTAGGGATTGTCAAGCATCGGGTAAAACCAAGTGCGATGTTTGTGAATTAAACGCTTTTTATCTTGATAACAAAACATGTTCAAAATCATGTGAAGAAGGATACATGGAAATGAAAGACACAACTCCAAATTGGACATGCAAGAAGTGTGATGATAATAACTGTAAAACATGTGAAATATCCACAAAGGAGACGTGCGTTGAATGCAAAGAGAATTTCTATTACAATGGAGATTCAAAGAAATGTGAAAGTGGCTGCGACTTGACCACGCATTTTGTGAACATTTCAGAAAAACTGCAAATGTGCTCAATGTGCAACAAAGCATTCTCAAATTGCCAAAGTTGCACATCACAACAATGCACAAAATGTGAAACCAAATATTACACCCAACCAGATACACCACATACATGCGAAAGAGATTGTCCAGATGCTTATTATAAAGGAGATGGCGTTTGTACAAAATGCACCGATAACTGTTTGAGTTGTGATGAGTATTTCTGTCACAGTTGTGAAAAAAAATACGTACTCAGCAACGGCGATTTAACATGCGAACGTTGTCAAGATAAAAGTTGTTTAAAATGCAGCCAAGGAAAAGAAAAGTGTGATAAATGCGAATCTCCTAAATTAATGGGAAAAGATTTAACTTGTGTTGATACATGTGAAAGTGGGTATTACAGTATTAATGATGAATATTGTGAAATGTGTCAAGATCAGAATTGTGCAGTTTGTGATAGATTTGAATGCAAGGAGTGTGCATTGGGAAGTTTTATGTCAAGTGGATACTGCAGATCATCATGTCCTGACGGATATTACGAAAATATAAAAGTCTGTAGTGAATGTACCAAAATGGCATCTGAATATGGTGCGTGCAAACAAGGAGACTTGGAATGTATTGGGTGCTCATTGGGAAATAATAGTGCTATTAGTACATCAATGTTGTTTGCATTACTCTGTATGGCAATGTTATTGTTTTGAAAAAAAAAATCGAATAATTGATTTATTTTTTAAAATGAAGTTATTCAAAAAACTTTTTTATCTTTGTTTTAATTTTAGAATTCAAATTATTTTTATAAATAAATTTTTATAATCAACACAGTAAATATTCGATGATAGTCCAGTCTATGTTCCAGTCTTATTCAATAATGTCAAATAATAAAAACTTGAATAATTAACAAAAAATACCACATTTTGTTTTTTGTCTCAACATTAATCCAAATTATATTTTCACCCAAAAAATATTTTTGCCATTTTATAAAAACTTTTGTAATTTATAATATAAAAAACAAATGCCTTATTTTACTAGTGTTTATTAAAACACAAAACGTCCGTTATAGAATCAAAATATTGATAGACAACATAAATAGCATTCAAACCGAACATATGAAGAGCAATATGACAACTCTTGGTTTTCAAAATAAACACTTGTTGTTTTATAACAATTTAACGCTCCAACGACACATTAATCAACTTTATTTGGGGGTTAGATGAAAAACTCATTTGCTTTTAAATTAATTTTAAAACTTATTTGTTTTTTTTAACTTAATGACAATTTGGTTTATGTATTACCATTTTAAGGTTTTGGACAAAAAAATATTAAAAATAGCAAAAAAAGCAGTTGTTTTTTAATTTTTTTCAATATTCAAATAACAATAAAATGTTAAAAATGTTTTGTTCATAATAAAATGAAATTTCAATTATTTTAATATAAATAGATTTTTTTTGTCAACCCAACCAATTTGTCTGTTCCATGCCAATAAACACACCAAACGTTTTCTATGATATTTTAACTGGTAGTTTTTTATACTTGATTTTTCATTTTTTTGATTCATTTAAATATGAATAATAATTAAAAATAATATTGAAATAGATTGGACATGGAAATAAAATTATCCCTTTCTGTTTTTTCCTTTAATATATTCATTGTTTTTCCACTACAGTCATGCGAAAAAGCTGTCGCGTTTGGAAAAACCTGTCTTGAAAAAATATTTTATAGTAAATTTATAATTACTTACTATACAGTATAGCTTCTATTCGATTTATTTGCAGGGTCATTTCACAAAAATCGAATAAAAATATTCGGCATTT